CACGGTGAAGAACAGAGAGCCCCTACCGCACATCGATGATCTGTTAGATAGAGTGCAAGGGTGTCGGTACTTCAGTAAAATAGATCTGAAGTCCGGGTACCATCAGATTGCAATCTGGCCGGAGGATCAACACAAAACCGCATTTCAGACCAGGTACGGTCTATACGAGTTTGTAGTGATGCCTTTTGGTCTTTGCAATGCTCCTGGCACCCTTCAGCACGCTATGAATCAGATATTCCATGACTACTTGGATAAGTTTGTCATCGTGTACCTCGATGACATACTTATTTTTAGTAAGACTGTCGAGGAACACGTAGCACACTTAGACAAAGTTCTCGGTCTCCTGCGACAGCACAAGTTCAAGATCAACGGTGAAAAGTGCGAGTTTGGCCGCACCCGTATCTTGTACTTGGGTCATGAGATCTCCGCGGAAGGGTTGAAGCACGATGACGCGAAGGTGGCCAGCATTCGTGATTGGCCACGTCCTCAGTCTGTGACTGAGATGAGATCTTTCTTAGGAATGACAGGGTACTATAGGACTTTCGTTAAGAATTACAGCATAGTGGCCGCTCCTTTGACTGATATGACCCGCCTTGACACCCCTTGGGAGTGGACAGATGAGTGTGAGGCTGCTTTCAAACATCTGAAGCATGCGTTGACGCACTATGAAGTCTTGAAGCTACCCGATCCTGATAAGCCATTTATAGTAACCACGGATGCTAGCCAATATGGCATTGGCGTCGTGCTTGCGCAGCAGGAGGGAACAAAGTTGAGGCCAGTAGAGTACATGTCCAAGAAAATGCCGTCTCAGAAGTTGGCTAAGTCCACTTATGAGAAGGAGCTCTATGCGGTGTACAAGGCTCTCACCCATCGGAGACACTACCTCCTTGGGCGGTTCTTCATCCTTCGGACTGATCATCAGACCCTGAGATGGATGAGAACACAGCCAGTACTCTCTGACGCTCTCAAGCGTTGGATCGAAGTCATTGAGCAATATGACTTTGACCCTCAGTATCTTAAAGGGGAGTACAAGAAGGTTGCTGATGCCTTGTCGCGCAGACCGGACTTCTCAGGTGCGCTGATTACTGAGTACGATCTGACGGATGACGTTACTCAGTCTTTGGTGGAAGCCTATCGTCAGGACCAGTTTATGTCTGAGATCATACGCAGACTTGATGCGAAGGATAAAAAGACCTCCGCCTAGTATGAGTTGATCAATGGATTGCTGTTCCTAGAGAAGGCAGGGAATAAACGCTTGTGCGTTCCAAGTAGCGAGTCTTTGCGTAGTTTGTTTTTAGGCGAGTGTCATGATGCCACCGGCCATTTCGGGTACAAGAAGACCGCAGCCAACTTGCTGCAGCGGTTCTGGTCGCCAACGATGATGAAAGATGCACAGCTGTACGTGGAAACTTGTCAAGTATGCCAGAGAAA